ATGTGACGGGCTAGATCGGTTCTGTAACTGGCAATCGTGTTATTTTTAAACACCTCGTTACTGGCGTTAGAGGGCAATGTGATATAAAAACCCTCCTCTTGTCTCAGATCCATTTTTTTTATTGTATCTGTTTTTTAAACGTCGTGCAGGTCTGAGGCTTTAATCCAACTGGAAAATTTTTGAGGCCAGCCAAGCCATTTAACAAAAACTTGCTTCTGGCCTCTGTAAGTTCTGCGCTTTAAAATTTTTTCAACGTGGAAGGATCGTTCGGTCGATAAGTTTACTTTCTGCAATTCGGGTTCATAAAATGACCCTTCAATTTTTTCCCCATCAAAATCTTTGAGTTTATAAACCGGCGGTGCTCGATGAAGACACTCGTCTACTGTGAACAGCTCGTGCGTGAAACTCTGCTCATATTTTTTATCAAAAACACCTCTGAGTTTGGAAATTCTCACAACGTCACCCCTGTTAAACTTCATTTTCTTTGCAGGCTTCGGTGCGGTGGTCCCGTAAAGGTTGCGAAACACTTGCCATTGATTTTCCGTGTTAACTTCAAAGGGGGCCATTTTGATAGAAGTGTGGTAGCTATGATTATAACCTTTCACCAAATCTTGAATCACATCTATGTAGCGATGGGTGTTTTTGGCTGTGAAATATCTCCACATTCTACCTTTTAGAGTCCTGTTAAATCTCTCCACAACGCTGGCCTTTACGCTGCTGGCTGTGGCAAAATGCACAATTTCGTGTTTCTTCATGAGGGCTTCAAATTTCTTATTAAAAAATTCTTTACCGGAATCCGTTTGCAATTTTTTAGGGACACCGCTGTCTTTCAAAACTGAAGCAAAAGCTTCTGTAACATCTTTCCCCGATTTGTTTTTCAGGGCTCGTACATAGGCTTTCTTTGAAAATACATCTATGACGGTTAATAGGTAATTGAAGCCGTCGTTTGATTTTGACAAGGCCTGCATGTCGCATAAGTCAGCTTGAAACTGTTTTAGCGGCCCTGAGACAAAAACCTTATTTCTCGGAAAATGAACTCTTGCAGGTTTGTGAAGTGTATAGGCGTCTTGTTCTGAGAGAAAATCGCGAGCCTTATCCGATGAAACTTTCTCCCCAATATCTTGTTGTAAACCGGTTCTAAACCTTTCCACACCACCGTAACTACCCTGATGTTCTGGTGTAAAATAAACCTTTTTCATTACCTCCTCCATCTCTGATGAATGGTTGGCAAAAATGATGCATATTTGTTTTCATTAGTTCTTTTTATTTCATAAATTGTACACACAATCTAATCAGAACTAAAATCACACAATCTAATCATACTGTAAAAAACAGCAGTCATCAAATATAATCATAGTCTAATCATACTGTAAAAAACAGCAGTCGTCAAATATAATGAATAAAATCACACAGTCTAATCATACTGTAAAAAACAACCGTCAAATATAATCTAAACACTAGTCAGAACTAAAAACAGTCGTCAAATATAATGAATAAAATCACACAGTCTAATCAGAACTAAAATCTAATGACGCTACCGTCAGAACTAAAATCTAATCATACTGTCGTCAAATATAATAATAAAGTTGTAGAAGAGACCCTCCGCAGCTCGCTCACTCCATCACCACACCGGACAGCGCGTCCAGGTCAGCTTTGGACAGGCGATCGTACACCGGAAAAATGTCTTTGTGAATGGGCATCACAGCCCTGAATCCGTGCAGCTGCGTCACAGCCATGGTGAACAGAATCTCAGTGTCCAGAGGCTGGAAGCCGTGCAGACTGAGAAAACTTTGAAGAGCCGGAATCAGTTTAGGTGTTAAAACCCTGCGAATAATGTCCGTAAAGTGAAAATCGTAAAATAATTCATTTTCAGCTACGTAAAGACATTCGTGTTGCCGTTGACTGGGGTGATCGATCTTGCATCCGTGGCAGATGGTTGGTAAGTGAGCTTTGATCGCCATGTTGACCAAGTGAAGAAGACCCATTTTCACACGGTCTACTTTGTCTTCTGAAAACACCCAGTCAGGCAGACGGTGAGGCTCCTCATCGGTGCTCTGGATGTCGAGGGGTTGCACATCCTCCTCCTCCTCCTCCTCCTCATGACCTGGCGGCGGCTCAGGGTTTGATGTCACCAAAGGTGGATCAGCCCTATCGACCCAGGGCCTGAATGGTACGTTCTCCGGAACCTCCATGATGGTGGGGAGTCGTGGTAGGTTATCCTCTGGAAAACACGATGGGGCCGATGCGGGCCTCGGACTGCCGTTGTATCTCGGCGGTGGTGGTGATGGTAGCGATCTGGACCTCGGACTGGTGTTGTATCTCGGTGGTGATGAATCCGTTAGTACCCAGCTCGGTGGTGGGCTCCAAAGGTCTTTAAGGGTCGTCTGATTGTAGAACCCTGTCATGCTGATGCCTAGATCGTCTGGATGAAATGGTTTCTAACTGTAAGGTCTTTATAACTAGTGCTGGGTGGGGGGGGGGGGGGGGGGGGGGGCGTGGTATGATGATGATGCATCCTCCTCCTCCTCCTCCTCCTCCTAAGGCAGGTCTTAGAACTCCAGCTTTTTTCGCACTGTCAGAATGTCGTTCCAACAGCGGCTGGTACGAAAAAGTGAAGTAATACGATCCTCCACTTCATTTATTTTTTCACACCAGGCTTCGAAAGGTACAACCTGTAGAAGGCGGTAAATTCCGCATACAGAATGCACATTCTCCAGCACAAAAAAGAGCTCAAATCCTCTCACACGGACCGAGGCCTTGAACATCCACTCTCCATCCGCATCCTCTTCCCCCTCCCATGAAGCGCTGAATGCTGTCACAGCGTTCTGGATTTCATCCAACGTTGGAAGAGCTTGCGGCCCGCTGCGATTGACAGGCGGACGAGGTCTCTCTTCATCATCTCTGTGCACCTTGCGTGGAACAGCCAGCCTGAGCACAGCCCAATCGTTGTAGGAGAGAACCGCTGGTGAGTTTGATAAATAGGATTTAAGAGGTTCCCCCTCAGCCACATCTTGGATTAAACACAGTTCCTTAGTGTCGTAGCTGAACCGGTACCCAAAACTACCGCTATAGCCGTAAGGTTCCAACTGCCATATTTGCTCCAAGATCTCTTTACCGCCGAAAGGAGGAACCTGCACTCTGCAAATGTAGAATGTAGATTTGCGGGGCGCTCCAATTCCAGCCGGCATCTGATGTATAGCGATGGATTTTTCACAAAGCATGGTTTTTGACAGCGGCGTATCCACGCTCTCTTCTTTCACTTTTTGAGTTGAAGTTGAAGCGTCGGATGTAGACACTTCTTCAGCGTGGCTTGGTGCTTCATGCAGCTCCTCGTGGTTCATCATTTTTTCTTAGAGCTCGGCTTTTCACCATTCGGACAGATCTGAGCTTTTAAAGAGTTATACACAATAGGATTACACTCAGAAGGGAGGGGGCTGTGAGAACCGATGGGCTAACACAATAAGAAACTTCACGCGCCATTACACACATTAGCCTATGATGTGGGGGATCATGGACATCTGGACGCTCAACAATACGCCATTGATGATGCGGCGTGGGGGGTCTAAGCCATCTGGACGATCAACAATACACATGTCCATTTGATTAATGATACGGAAGGGGGGGCAAAGATTGAACAATACACCTGTCCATTTGATTAATGATAGGAAGGGGGGGGCAAGGTCAAGGGTCAAATGAACAATAGGACTGAAAGGTCAAAGAACAATAGACCTGTCAAAATGTTTGACGAAAGGTATCTTATTATGTCTCTCTTGGGTGCTTGCAGCTTGTTGTGACCGGCTGTGCGCTCTGGCATCAGGAAAGGAAGGTGGTCACGTGACTCACGCTAGCTATATAACTTTATTAAACAGAAATTTTATTAATTATTATTTTTGTTATTATTGAGGGGGCACAAACGGAAAATTCTTTTAAGAAAAAAAAATATATAAAAAAATCATTAAACCTCAAAAAGGGCACTTTGGGCACATGGGACAAAAGGGGCAGGGTCTCAAGCACCCTCCGCTCCCCCCTCTGCCCGTGCCTGTTGTAGAGAGATGTAGTGGAATATAGTTGTATTTTCTTACTTTTATTAGGTCCAGATATTATAATCAGAAGAGGTTGTTTTTACTTCAGGGAGTTCTATTTAAACACTTTGTATTGACTTAGAGACAAGAAAAGAGAGAGTTGGGATCGTTTAAGAATCTTTAATTTCTATGATTATAAATTCAAACAATCTACCAGGACTTAACTCTCTATGATGGATGCATATGGATTTGAATGTTGAAATGTTGGTGTGTGTGTGTGTTCAGAATCTCTAGGCTGAGGCAGGCGGATCTGGGTGTCAGATGTTTTGACTAGGAATCACGAGGGCTTCAGAAGCTCATGACATGAAACGCCATCTTGCCGGGTCTACGTACCGTGTAGGAACTCCCGTGGTCAGATCGGGAATGTCAGGTCTCCGGACCTCTTTGGTACTGGACTGATGAAACAGTGTTGCAGCACGACAAAAACCCGTCTACGGATAGCTCCCGGTAGTAGTGGCAGGTCTCAGCGCGTTCAGCTTTTATTTTGAAGGAACAGTCGTCTTGTTGTTCAAACGACAGAATTTTCCAGCTTGACAGTTCTCAGCTTAAAGTAGAAAAATACAGCTGGCCAGTCTGTAATCTCCTTTAGCGATGATGATTTGAGAGCTGGTTGAAACTACGTTGAGTCTATGATGTAACTCAGATAAGACTGAGGTGGAACGGAAGTTAAAATGGCGTTGCTCTGTTTTATTAACTTAGTTGTTTTTAAATCTTAGCAAATCGGAGTGGACAAATTGATAAACAGCCCAGATTCTGCCCTGCAACAGACGGAAGCTCTGATTGGATGAGAACAATGTGTCATGCGTTCTTATGTTCTGTGGATCAGTATGTCTGGTGCACAGTCCTGTTTATTCATTAAACACATAAATCATGACATTTTGATTTCACAGACCAGTCACCTGATTGTTATTGTTCAACATTTGTTTTGATTAGCTTTATTACCAATAAAGTTCTTTGATTAATTAATGAAAAGCGTTCTTCTTCCTTTTTCTGTCTCCTTTCCTGGAATGTAAACATTTAGAAACAAGCACCTGACCTTGTTCATTCATGCACACTGTTGCTGTGTGAAGGGGCAGCTGTTAAGGGCAGACAACAGCATCTTCATATCGCTACAGAGATCACAGGCAAAAGGCACCTCTCCTGTGTGGACTTTCATGTGTGTGTTTAAACTATGTTTATGGCTACATCTGTATCCACAGAGCTCACAGGCAAAAGGCTTCTGTCCTGTGTGGACTCTCATGTGTGTGTTTAAATTTATCTTTTGACTAAATCTCCTTCCACAGAGCTCACAAGGAAAGGGCTTCTCTCCTGTGTGGACTCTCATGTGAATGTTTAAAGTTGTCTTTTGGCTAAATCTTTTCCCACAGAGCTCACAGGCGAAAGGCTTCTGTCCTGTGTGGACACTCATGTGTTTGTTTAAATGATGTTTATGGCTAAATCTTTGTCCACAGAGCTCACAGGCAAAAGGCTTCTCTCCTGTGTGGACTTTCATGTGTGTGTTTAAACTGTGTTCACGGCTAAATCTTTGTCCACAGAGCTCACAGGCGAAAGGCTTCTGTCCTGTGTGGACACTCATGTGTTTGTTTAAACTTCCCTTTTCACTAAATCTATTCCCACAGAGCTCACAAGCAAAAGGCTTCTCTCCTGTGTGGACTCTCATGTGTCTGTTTAAATGAGGTTCCTGGCTACATCTGTATCCACAGAGCTCACAGGCAAAAGCCTTCTGTCCTGTGTGGACACTCATGTGTGTGTTTAAATGTATCTTTCGGCTAAATCTCGTTCCACAGAGCTCACAAGGAAAGGGCTTCTCTCCTGTGTGGACTCTCATGTGAATGTTTAAACTTCCCTTGCCACTAAATCTATTCCCACAGAGCTCACAGGCAAAAGGCTTCTCCCCTGTGTGGACTCTCATGTGTGTGTTTAAACTTGCCTTTTGGGTACATCTGTATCCACAGAGCTCACAGGCAAAAGGCTTCTCTCCTGTGTGGACTTTCATGTGTTTGCTTAAATTATGTTTATGGCTAAATCTTTGTCCACAGAGCTCACAGGCAAGAGGCTTCTCCCCTGTGTGGACTCTCATGTGTTTGTTTAAACTTGCCTTTTGGGTACATCTGTGTCCACAGAGCTTACAGGCAAAAGGCTTTTCTCCAGTGTGGCCTTTCATATGACTGGTTAAACTGGACTTTAGGCTAAATCTTTTCCCACAGTCATCACAACTAAATGATTTCAGTTGTTTCTGGACTTTTCTGCATGAGACTCCATGTTGTTTCTCTTTCACACATTTTGTATTAACCGAACACTCTGAAGACTTTACTGCTGAATGACTTGTCACTCTCACATGTTTCTGAAGACACCACTTGTGGAGGAACCGTATACCACACACAGGGCAGTTAAATGATTTGTTGACGGTCTTAATATTTGACTCCGAAGACTTGTTCTCATTACAGCCATTGTCTCCGTTTCTAGTTTCAGGCCCAGAGTTTGAACGCTCAGAGTCTAGATTCACATCATCTTCATCTTCTCCACTAACTTCAGTCTCTGAAGAATCGGATGTCTTTTCATTAGGGTCCAGATCTAGGTTCTTGATAGTTTCTGCTCCTCCACCAACTTTTGCTGTCATCTTCCCAGCCAAGCTGCTGGTTGGGACACCTCCATCTTTCATTGGATGGTTGTGGAAATGTAAGTGCAGAGGTTTCTCATCCGTCTCCTCTCTCTTCCTTGAATCTGCAGTGAACCAAGCAGAAATATATAAAATAAAAATATTCAGTAAAAAGAGAAGACAAAATACCTAGGGGTGTTTTTGCAATCAGTAATATACATAACCAATGTTGGTAAACACATTACTATTTATGGTAATGCATTACTTTTGCAAATAACTATGAATCTAATGAGTTGCTTTTAAGCCTATACATCACTATTCGATTGGTAGCAGGAAAAAAATGCTATCTGCAAATTCTGATTAATGCCTCTCAGAGCCGGTCAAACCAGCCGTCCGTCGCTGCTACTGTGGAGCCTAGAGATACCCTCGCAGCAGCAATGCGTCAGCCCCTCCCTTCCTTTCCCCAACACTGAAGGTGTGCAGCGGCAAAAATGTAAACAAACATATCTGCTGAGCCTTTAATCCATGAGAGTGCTGTAAAGTTTGTATCCTACAACAAAATCACGGTGCGGAGGAAGCTCGTTAAAATGCGTGGAAACAGTAAATGTAATACGTGTTTTGAGAAGAAACTGTGGGTGGAGTGAGGTGAGATTGTAAGGCTCGCTGCAGAAATAAAAACACAGAGCATCAACACTCGTCTGTAACCCATAAAATAATAATGAGCATCATGCTGCTAGATCAGCAGCTTGTGATGACAGTTAGTTCTGCTCACTAGGTCAGCTGACCTTAATCCACAAGATGGGACATATGGCACTAGAATTCCAGATAAAGAGCTAGGAGCAAGGCCATTTAAACATTTGTAGGCCAGAACCAAAATCTTAAATTGAACACAGAACTGAATTGGGGTCCAACGCAGAGAGGCAACAACTGGAGTGATATGATCAAATCGACCAGTGCCAGTCTAAAGACGGGTTGCAGCATTTTGAACTAGCTGCAGCCTAGCAATACATCCATGATCAACACCCAAGTAAAGACTATTGCAGTAGTCTAAACAAAATGCATTAAATGCATGAATAAGCTTCTCAAAACGATTCCTCATCAAAAAGGACTTATAAAGATTCTTTAGGTGAAAAAAAGCATACTTGAACCACATCATTGACTTGAACAACAAATTTAAGCTGAAAATCAATCTTAACACCCAAATTAGACACAACATCCTTTGCATCATATGAGACCAGGCACGTGCAGAGGGGGGTGCGGAGGGTGCTTGAGACCCTGCCCCTTTTGTCCCATGTGCCCAAAGTGCCCTTTTTAAGGTTGAATGATTTTTTTAAATATTTATTTTTTTTAATTTTTTTTTAAGAATTTTCTGTTTGTGCCCCCTCAACAATAACAAAAATAATAATTAATAAAATTTCTGTTTAATAAAGTTATATAGCTGGCGTGAGTCACGTGACCACCTTCCCTTCCTGACGCCAGAGCGCACAGCCGGTGTTCGCGGTCAGCACCCACGTTTTCTTCATGGCCGAGAGAGCGGTGCAGAGCTTTTAGGACATACATATTGATTGGGAGAAACGGACTAACACCGGTAAGTAGGATGCACACTACTATACACAGTTATTAGATTATTCTGTACATTATTAAATTGTTTTGTGGCACTAGGTGTGTGTGATATATTACTAGCTGGGTGTGTGTCTGTGGCTGGGCACCGATTCTGAACCTCAGTAGCTTTAGGATTAACCAAAAGCATTCTGTACATAAGTACTTCTTGTACGAAAACATTTTTTCAATCTTAAATATTGGGAATTTGCCAATAAAATGTCGTTGTTGTTAACTAGGTGCCGCAAAGTTGCATTCCTATTGCTGCTGCGTGTCACGTGACAGCCCTGCTTCTTGTTTACAGAATCACTTCCTGGTTCGCGGACTAATAAAACTTGAACAAATTTTAAATTTAGCTACCTTTTGTGAAAGGAAATAAGAAAAATACTAAAGGTAACATCCGTCACAAGTTTTGTGTTACAAAATATTCTGTCCTTGTCTGTAAATTCTGTCCAGCGTTGTAGGGAACATAGTTTTGTTTTAGATTTTAAGGTTTCTCAGCCCTTCTGGTGGGTTTTATAGTTCACTAATACTATGCATATTCTCAAAATGTTGGAGTTTATATTTGCTCTCTTTTTGAATGCATTGTATTAAAAAACATGTTTTAAAGATGTACATTAAAAAAAACTACTGTTTTCACAGCAAAATTATTTTATCTGTACAGTTCTCTGTTTTGCACAAAGTAGATAGTAAAACTGAATGAAAGCATGAACATTGTTTTATTCTTTATTATAATTACTAAAGCACTATGATTAAAATAGTATGGAAATATTCTGGATCAGCATCATGAAGCAAATTTGTGGCCAAATTATATACAGTTAGTTTTCTGGAAAAGGAATGAAATGTCCCAGTTTGTGTATGCCTGAGGTTTATATGCATGAAAAAATATTTGTAAATTAATTATGATATATCATTGTACAGACATGCCTCGTAAGGAGAGGAGGCAGAAGCAGCGACAGAAAGAGCTACGTGAGGCAGCTAAAGGCAGTGGGTCCCTCACCAGCTGGATAAAAAAAGAGTACAGGTAAGTTGCATCACAGCAACAAGTGTAGAAACAATAATATACACAACTGCAATGTTTTGATGCCAGAAAATGTTTTTTGTTAGCTACTTGATCATGGATTAGGTGCAAGACCTGTTAAATGTGAATAACTACATAATTCATTCATACAATAGCTAATGTTGCCTTGTTCTCAGATGGACAGCAAGTGGAGAGTGATAGATCACATGAGGGGATTGAAGACACACACACACACACACACACACACACACACACACACACACACACACACACACACACACACACACACACACACACACACACACACACACACACCTCTTTCTGTTTATATTTCTGTCACATTCTTATCTCTGACATAAACTCCTCTATTATCCACTAATGTTTAGATTTCCATTTATTTACCACAGGTTTTGTCTCAGATGTTTCTGTCTTACAGTTCTAAGAGTTTTCACCAATTTTTGCCATTTTTTTATGATGTTACATTAATTTTGTAATTGACTAGCATTTCTCCTCTGTTCGTTTTACTACCTACAGTCTGAGATCAACACAGCCTTGCCCTCCAGCATCAGCAGCAGCAGCACGAGGAGCAACCCTGCAACAGCTACACTGTACCCCATCATAAGGTAAAATAGGACAGCAATAGATCAGGAGGTGGAGCAGCTTGTCCAGCAATAAGAAGGTTGCAGGTTTGATCCTGACTTCAATCAGAGATTGATGCTGTTGTGTCCTTGGGCAAGAAACTTAACCTGCTTTGCCTGCTGGTGGTGGTCGGAGGGACTGGTGGCGCCTGTGCTCAGCAGCTTCACCTCTGTCAGTTTGCTCCAGAGCAGCTATGGCTACATCATAGCTCATCACCATCAGTGTGTTAATGTGTGTGTGTGTGTGAATGACTGATTGTGTTGTAATGTGCCTTGGGGGGTTGTAGAACCCTAAGAAGGCATTATACAAATACAGACCATTTACCAAAACAAGTTACTTTTGCTTTACATTGTCCTTATGTGGTAAGGGTGTATATGATGATTCGCTTCCAGTTTGAATTTCTAATAAATATGATTTGTTATTCAGCCGGGTATACTGTGGTTATGTCATGGTGTTTGAAAATATTATTCTGTGTGCCCCTTTTTAAATTTGAGCACCCGCCCCTTCAAAGGTCTCTGCACAGCCCTGTATGAGACTAACTACAGGAGCACCACTTGGTGCAAACACAATCAACTCAGTCTTAGACTCATTAATCTGGAGAAAATTACAACCCATCCACAATCATTAACCTCACGAAGACAACTCAGAGCTAACACCTTAGCTTTAACAGGAGCATAGACCTGACAGTCATCAGCATAAAGTTGAAAGTCAAGCTCATATTTCCTACAGATGGCCCAAAGAGGGAGCAAATATAAATTGAAAAGCAGAGGACCAAGTACAGAGCCCTGTGGGACCCCATATTTTAGGGGAGCATCACTTGAGCAGAAGCTACCAATATTAACAGTAACATACCCGTCAGACAGGTAGGAACTCATCCAGAACAGCGCTGAACCAGAGAGACCAACAAACTTCTCCAGTCGATTGAGAAGTATAACATGATCAAGAGTACCAAAAGCAGCGGTCAGATCAAATAGTAGTAAAAAGACTGTCACCCACATCAGTATATGTGTAAATATCATTGAACACTCTCACAAGCACAGTTTCAGTACTATGCTTTGTTCTAAAAGCTGATTGAAAAACTTCTAAAATTTGTTATTATCTAAATGGTCTGACGATCACTTAAAAACGACTTTCTCAAGAACCTTAGAAAGAAATAGCAGCGTAGAAATAGGTCGATGATTGGATAATACAGAGACATCAAGACCGGGTTTCTTAAGAAGGGGTTTGATTACAGCTCTTTTCAGACTTTACAAACAGGTAAACAAAACTGTTTCTGTGTTTAAAAAAAGAATGAAAGAATGGATCTTTTCAGACTCTTTGGAACTTCCCCACACTGCAGACTAGAGTTGATTACATTATGAACCATATTTGAAATAGCTGAACAAACATTTTTATTAATAGATGGAATGATGTTGAGTGCAGAGCTGGCTGGTTTCATCCTTCCAACAATTTCATCCAACATATCTGGGGATACAGGGTCAAAAGAATTCAAAGTAGTTGAATCAAAACAGATATCTTCATCAATAAAACTAAATTGCTGGGGAATTTGAGCTTGAATAGTTTCGGTTTTGCCTATAAATTACAGTTGTGGTCAGACGTTTACATACACTTGTAAAAAATATAATATAATGGCTCTACTGAGTGTCCCGTTATTTCTAAAACTCTGATGTTTCTCTTATAGAGTAATTGGAACAGATACTTCTTTGTCACAAAAAACATTCATGAAGTTTGGTTCTTTAATGTCTTTATTATGGGTTAACGGAGAAAAGTGATCACATTTGCTGGGTCACAAATATACATACAGCAGTGCTAATATTTGGTTACATGTCCCTTAGCCATTTTCACTTCAATTAGGCGCTTTTGGTAGCCATCCACAAGCTTCTGGCAAGCTTCTGGTTGAATCTTTGTCCACTCCTCTTGACAGAATTGGTGAAGTTCAGTTAAATTTAATGGCTTTCTGACATGGACTTGTTTCTTCAGCACTGTCCAAATGTTTTCAATAGGGAAGACCATTCTAAAACCCTTATTCTAGCCTGATTTAGCCATTCCTTTACCACTTTTGATGTGTGTTTGGGGTCATTGTCCTGTTGGAACACCCAACTGCACCCAAGACCCAACCTTCGTGCTGATGATTTTAGGTTATGTTGAAGAATGTGAAGGTAATCCTCCTTCTTCATTATCCCATTTACTCTCTGTAAAGCACCAGTTCCATTGGCAGCAAAACAGCCCCACAGCATAATATTCCCACCACCATGCTTGACTGTAGGCATGGTGTTCTTGGGGTTAAATGCCTCACCTTTTCTCCTCCATACATATTGCTGGGCATTGTGGCCAAAAAGCTTGATTTTTGTTTCGTCTGACCACAGAACTTTCCTCCAGAAGGTCTTATCTTTGTCCATGTGATCAGCAGCAAACTTCAGTCGAGCCTTAAGGTGCCGCTTTTGGAGCAAGGGCTTCCTTCTTGCACGGCAGCCTCTCAGTCCATGGAGATGCAAAACACGTTTGACTGTGGACAATGACACCTGTGTTCCAGCAGCTTCTAATTCTTGGCAGATCAGTTTTTTGGTGATTCTTGGTTCACTCTTTACCCTCCTGATCAATTTTCTCTCAGCAGCAGGTGATAGCTTGCGTTTTCTTCCTGATCTTGGCAGTGATGAAACAGTGCCATGCACCTTATACTTACAAACAATTGTTTGCACTGTTGCTCTTGGGACCTGCAGCTGCTTTGAAATGGCCCCAAGTGACTTTCCTGACTTGTTCAAGTCAATAATTCGCTTTTTCAGATCCATGCTGAGCTCCTTTGACTTTCCCATTGTAGCGTTTGTGGGCGTTTGTATCCAATGAGCCCTATTTACCTGGCCTAAGAGAAGTCACCAGCTGTAGTCACTCATAATCACTCACAAGAAGTTAAGAGGCCATGCTATGAAGCTCAGTTCACTGACACGTTTCTAAGTCACCAAAATTGCTAGTTCATGTTGCTGTATGTATATTTGTGACCCAGAAAATGTGATCACTTTTCTCTGTTAACCCATAATAAAGACATTAAAGAACCAAACTTCATGAATGTTTTTTGTGACAAAGAAGTATCTGTTCCAATCACTCTATCAGAGAAAAATCAGCGTTTTAGAAATAACGGGACACTCAGTAGAGCCATTATATTATATTTTTTACAAGTGTATGTAAACCTCTGACCACAACTGTATATCAGAAACCTCTCAGCAGCAGTCGAAGAGGCTTTAAGTCCACCTGCACATGAAGGATTTAAAATCTCATCCATGGTAGAAAATAGTACTCTTATAGGCCTTTTCCACTGACCAAACTGGCATGGAATGGGAAGGACCGGGTCGCTAAATATTTTGTTTCGATTGTTGAACCAGTCCAGGAAACGTACCCGAACCGGTCCAGTAGCGGGCCAGAGCGGGACCCATTCTGTTGTGGGTCCAGAGATTTTTGGTCTGGGCGGAGCCACAGCGTAAAAGGTCCAGAGTCCTCTGATTGGGGGAGAAATTACGTAACTACCCGCGACAATCCCGGGGGATGGAAAGAAGTGAGTCGAGTTCCAGTGTTTTTTTGGCTGTACTCGTGTGTGAAAATGCCTGCAAGTAATAGCTTTTGGTCCAATGCGGAGCTTCAAACGTTCCTCACCATCATCGGAGATAGCAACATTCAGGCCGAGCTGGATGGGATGATAAGAAATGAGAAAGTCTTCAAAGAAGTTTCTCAGCGCATGGCAGCTAAAGGATTCCAGCGCACCTCCGAGCAGTGTCCTGCTAAGCTGAAAAAAATTAAAAGCCCACTACAGAAAAGTTAAGGACAGCAATGGCCGTAGTGGGAATGGGCGAAGTACATGGAAGTGGTACGATGTGGTGGACGCTATTTATGGACACAGACCGTCAAACTGAGGCAGCGAAGGAGGCCTGGACTCGGTGGCCAGTATCCTGGAGTCACTCATAAACCCTGTTGGTAAGCATTTCTTTTGTTGTCTTTTTAGCTCTGCAGGCCATTCATTGCAGCACCAAAAACACTGAATAATAGCAGCAGCTATTTAAGAAATGCTCAGCAAGTAAAGGATTTACCCCCTCGTGTTAACTAGCCTTAGCATCCCCTCGTGTTTGTTAACCTTCATTTAGCATTCCCATGTTTTTTAACACGCTGTTCGCGATATAAGCCTTTCATGTTTAGTTTAAAACATGGGAAATTCGGTTAGCCTTTCACGTTAGCATCTCAGTGTTTTTAGCATCTCATTGTTTTATACAGACACAGACACATCTGAAGCGGAAAACACTCCCTCTTCAGAGGAACCATCCACTTCCTCAAGTAGCACTCCAGGACCTTCTGTGCCACCATCACCTCTGTCCGTACCTTCTGTGCCACCATCACCTCTGTCCGTACCTTCTGTGCCACCATCGCCTTGGCCAGTTCCTTCGCCACCACCATCACCTCTGTCCACTACCACTCGAGAGGAACATCTACCATGTCGTTGACGCACAGGTAGTGTCTAACCATTCTAAAAATTGCTTTGTGCATAAACAAACCTGACAAGTTCACAGGAGAACTGACATTTTGTTATCCATATAAACACAAATGTAATTGTCAATGTTGTTGTTTCCAGGTGACCGAAGACGGCGATTGGAAGCACGGACTCAGGTGATATTTGATGAGTTGCAGATCGCAGATGGCAGGCAGATGGACAGAATGGAAGGCATAAGCCGGGAGCAGGTTAACTGGATGCAACAAGACGCAGCAGCAGCAAGGCAACATGAATTACAGATCGCAGAGCGATATTTTGAACATTTGGGTGCCCTAAATGCTGTTCTTGGACTGGTCGCACAAAGAATGGGCAGCTCCTCTGACTTCCTGCCACCACCCAGGCAGTAAGGAGCTGTGTATTTGTCCCGTAATTTTTTTTATCCCACGTCTGTCCTTTTTATCAATAAATTTTCAAAGAAAAACAAGGTGTGCATGAATTGTCTTGAAAACAATTTTTTTCGCAAATTTAAATTTACATAATAAATGTAGATTACATTACAGCCCACCTTAAATACAGGTGCTGGCCAGTAAATTAGAATATCATCAAAAGGTTGAAAATATTTCAGTAATTCCATTCAAAACGTGAAACTTGTACATTATAT